TTCACCGAGTTATTCAACATTGAAGCAAAAACGATCCTTTTTGCTTCGATGTTGAATAATTCAATGAAAAAAAATCGTACAAAGATCAATAAAAAAGCAAATTAAAGGTAAAGATTCACTTTTTCGAAAGCTGTAAACAGCATTTATGCGCAATATTTAATTCGCGCCGTAAAATTTCATAAATTTCAAAATTTTGTGATTTGATGCGTCTTCATTTATTTGTTTGTCTTACTTCAAATATCAGTAAGACGATATTCTAAAATATCGATCTAAATAGAGATTTCAAGTTTTAAAACGTTTTTTTAAACATCTCGATACGATGATTTTTAACGAAGTTATTCTATCTTGAAATTTACCTGCTGCTTCTCAACGAAATTAAAGTTATTTAAATTTAAATTTCATATATCTCCGCGAAGAATGATCGTGAAGCGATATATTATATTACACATACGATATATTCACCGCGAAACCTAATTTCAGGATTGCCATAGAAAACGAATTTTTAAATTCCCTGATTTTTCCAGGTTTTCCAAATGAAAATGAAGAATTTTTCCTAACCAGTATAAAATAAAATTATCGGTCCTAATAAAGTAAAAAACGTAGTTATGACGGAAAAGGGTAATCAAATAAAAATACTGAATAAAATATAAATTTTAATTATTTTATTGAAATTGTTTTGACTATTTTAATTTTACAATTAAAAAGTAAACAATACATTTGATAAAATATATACCTTAACTGTAACAATTAAATTGATATAAGTTTTATGTTAAACTACACAAAAATTAAAACAAAAAACTTGACAGAAATAAAACATTTAAGAAATGTCTAATTTATACATTTAAAACAATTACTTTAATTAACTTAATGACCAATGCATAGACTGATATATAGTTTTCAATACTGTCTAAAAAAAATTGTACTTATTTACAAACTGACATTCGGAGCTTGAATTTTTATCTAGTAAATTAGAGTTTCTTTTTGTTTTTCAGCGATTATCTTTAGTCTCTTTTTTTTTTAGATCATCTATTTCATCAATAAGTCTCTTTTTATTTAAATTCTCATTTGTTTGTTTTTCTTTTTTTGCTTCTTCGAGAGCTTCATTATACAATGATCTTGCATTTCATATCTTAAGAATCATTTGCTTGTCAACTACTATATTATTTAAGCTGCCTAACGCTGTATTGCATCATAAACTTGTCTCTGCGCAATTAAAGTTTAACAAGTTGATTCTCAACAATAACTTTTTTGTTGATGGAATTTCCTCTTTCTACAAATGCATTTCCATGATTAAAAATGAAAATCTTTTTTAAGAAATTTAAAAGTTTTTTTGATCCATTCATTGTTATACCAAAAACTTTCTGACTAGATCGGCTAAACTGTTTAAAATATTCTTGCGTTTCACTTTTGGAACAAAAGTCTTTAAACTTTTTCAGAAGTTCATCATATTCGGTATATCCTATCAGGGGGATCCCGTTTGCCTACAAATCGATTGCCTACAGTATCGTTTGCCTACATCACTTTTGCCGACAGTTCGTTTGCACACAAAAATTATTGCTTACAGTTCGATTGCCTACATGCACTTTTGCACACAAATAAAAATTTAAAAAACGGAGTTACTTTTGCCTATATGTATTATTGCCTACAAGTATTATTGCCTACAGCTCTATTGCTTACATGCACTTTTGCGCACAAATAAAAATTTTAGAAACAGAGTTACTTTTGTCTATGGTACATGTTGAGTCGCGCCACCATCCAGCACAAAAACAGACTGCAGTCAACTCATTTGTACATAGAGCTTTTACCATCGCTGACAAAGAACATCTACAGACAGAACTCAACCACCTAAAACTAGCCTTACAGAAAAACGGACAAAAAAGACATAATCAAAATAATCAATAAACACGCAAACAAGACAAAGATCTCTGACACATAACCAGATGAAAGGGTCCTATCCATTCTCTCATGTGTCAAAGGAACAACAGATCAGATTGGCAGGATATTAAACAAACATAATATCCGAACTATCTTCAAACCACCCAAAAAAATAGGACAAATCTTAAGAAATCCTAAAGATCAAAGACCTCCACTCAGTTTCGCAGGAGTACGCAAAATACCT